AAAATTCTTTTTTTTTTAATTTTTATACTTTTTTACTTTTATAAATTTTTATAGTATATATATTATCTCTAACTTTCCTAATTTATCAAAATATTTAATTTACCTAAATTTAACCGTTACCTTCCTCACAAAACGGCGCTAAAAACTTAATCCCGATTTTTAATATGTAAGTATTTATGAAGTTGACACCACTACAGCGCCAAAAAGTTGATCTTTACATGAAAAGTAAGTTGTGAAAGTAAGTTGTGTAAAAAGTTGTGTAAAATATATATATAATTATAGACAATTAATAATGAGATTCTACGCAAGTATACGTATCGTTATCAAGTAATAAATGACTTTTTATTTAAGCCTCAAATATCGATCCTACAGGAAATGTGTGAATTGGCAAATATAAGTTTTACTAAGAAATTTACAGCAAATCAAACGAAATCACTCTCACTAATTTTGAATGTTGAGATGTTATCAAAACTAAAGTACTTAACTATTAGCAAAACAAAAATGCAAAGTTTAAAAAGTAAAATACTAATTTACTAAATATGTTTATGTAATGAAAATTTTTTATGTGAAAAAACATCCTTCCCACTACAATGAGGTTCTGGTGAAATGTTCCCACTACAATGAGGATGAGGTTCTGGTGAAATGAGATGGGATAAATGTTTATAATATATGTATAACATATTGAAACTTCTAACCTTGCATTGCCTATTCAAGAAAATTTGCTTATGGAAGGATAAAGTTTCTCTCCTGATATTAAACTAAGTATAGAAGAACCAAAAATAACACAAAAGGGGTTAGAAGCTGCTCAAATATTTCTTAAGGCAAACATGCTAACAGTGGAATTATGAGTTTCTTGTTTTAGTGTAATTCTTTTTCATTATATCATATTTCTTTCCGACTTGAGTTAGTTTATCTTTAGTAAATTTTAATGATTGTAATTAAGTTTGTCCTAGTCGTTCCTTATTATATAAAGAGAAGAGTGTAATTTGATTATTAAGAAATAAGAGAATATGATTTTCTCCATCTTGCAACATGGTATCAGAGCTTGGTTAAAAACCCTAGCTCTCATTTTCCAACTGGAGCCGCTCTCTTGCAGCCGTCAGTCCCTCAGTCAAATGGTCTTCTTTCAGGCGCTCCTCTCCTTTCTTGTAATTGATCTCCGTCGGATTGTTTCCTATTGTGGATCGCATCCTCTCCTTCCATGCAGTCGATCTCCAGCAATATCATCTCTCTGCTACGGATCGCTCCTTGTGATCATCTCCCTGTTGATCACTATAACTCCCAATCACTCCATGTGATCATCTTCCTGTGGATCACTGTTACACTCGATCGTTCCCCACGAACATCTGTTCTTCCGCATCAAAAGGCTTCATTTACTCCGAGGCCGATATCAAGAACTCATTCCAGTCGTCTTAGCTTCTCTCGACCGCTGCTAGATTCCCTTTAATAGGCTTGTAGACCCTTCCTGACTCTTCCTTGTTGCAGACCATCACCGGATTCTCCCTATAGACCCTCCGTTGTTGACCTTGTTGTCACTGGACCTTTCATCCAGCAACAGCAGTCACCGCAATAGTCGTCGGATCTCTCAGCAGTCGTAGGACCTCTTTAGCAGCAATTAACTCCTTTTCTATAATAGCCACTCATTATACCTTTCTTCCTATAGCAGTTGCAACCATCTTCCTCTCATTAACAAGTTGCAGCCCGAAATACACACAGGTTTATGACCAAGTATGGTATGAGGGCATCGAGTGCCACTACGTAGGTTAATCATCCACTTACGTGAACATTGCAAGAAACTTGTCCACATAAAGGATAGATGTTGAAAACTACATGGAAAATATGTAGAATGGAAACATGAGCAAGGGAGGAAAGACAAAGGCAGCAACGTCTATGCCGCTTCCTCATTTGAATGGTTGGCCGACCCTAGCCCTTTCAACAAGAAACAATTAGAGGTCTTGAAGATACTTCTTTCAAGCACAACTGAGTATTTACATGATACACCAAGGTACCATGTTCTCCTATCTAGCTGATAATGAAAGATTTCGACCTTGGATAATGGAATCGGGTTCTCACCAACTACGAAGGGTCACCGATCCAAATTTATCAAGCTTGTTGATGGGTCTCACTCCATGATTTTGGGAAAGGAGGACGTAAAATATCCAAATATATTCAGTTTTTATATAATAAGTCCCCAAATTAGATTGCAACTTAATGTCAATTAGCAAGTTTACTCATGGCTTCAACTGTTTTACTAAATTTCATTCTAAAACTAATGAATTTTAATGGTGGATTCGAACAAGGGAGACTTGCATAAAGATCTTTACCTGCTCAAGAGAACTAATCTCTTAACACATAAGTATCTTCTTCACCATCATCCTCCCATATCCCTAAGTATGTTATGTTTGATTTTGCTAAAAATCAAATTCTTTTATGAGATCATCGTCTGGTTCATCTCAATTTTCATTATGTTGCAAAGTTATACCCTCGTCTCATTTTAATAAAAATTAGAGTTCTATCAATGCAAATCCTGTCAAATAGCTAAGCATACTCATTGTATCTATCCTCTATCCCGGTATAAGCCATAGAATATTTTTTTTATCATCCACAATAATATTTGAGGATCATCAAATTGAAAATCATCAATGGAACTAGATTGTTTATCTCTTTTATAGATGATCGCATTAGAACTAGTTAGATATTCCTCATGAGAGAAAATTTTGAAACTACACAAATATTTCAGTCCCCCCATAAAATGATTTCCACTCAGTTACCATGCAAAATTCAGATCCTCAAAGTTGATAATGTAAAGTAATACATTATTTCTATCGTTGGACCCTACCATGCAAAAAAAGCAAGTTTGTGTTAAAATTTCACAACAAAATAGGATAGTTGAGAGGAAGAATAGACATCCCCTCGAGATATTTGGTTTTATAATGCTTTCTCACAATATCTCAAAAGTTTTCTTGGAAGATGTCGTACTTAGAGCCTCCTACCTCATTAGTAGAATTCAAGCAGGTTACCTAGATTCAAAGACCCTCTCAATATTGTGATAGAAAAATACCCTTATGTTAAAGTCTTCTCATCCAATCTTCCTCTAAAAATATTCGGTTGTATATCTTTTGTTCAGATTTACCAACCAAACAGAGAAAACTTGACCCAAATTCTATCAAATGTATCTTCCTTGGGTATGCTTCTAACAAAAAAGAGTATAAGTGTTATTTTCCAATTACAAAAAAATATTATCTCCATGAGTATTATTCTACAAGGGTATGTTCCTAACAAAAAAGGGTACAAGGAAATAAGAAAACTATACCCATTGTCGTTGTAGATGACATGATTCTGACATGTGATGATAAAAGAAAGATTAGGAAGATTAAAGATGTCATTGTCATTGAGTTTGAAATTAAGGATCTAGGAGTGATGAGATACTTCTTTGGCATTGAAGTGGCCAGATCCAAGATGGGTGTATTATGATATCCCAAAGAAAATACATCTTAGACCTACTGAAAGAGACATGAATGCTAAGATGCAAACCTGTTGAGAATCCTATGAATTTCAACAAAAATTTACATTCAAGTGGAGAAAAGAGAGAAGCAAAAAAGGTAGATAACAGAGGATGGAGAGTAAGCTTATCTACCTATCACACTAGAACTGATATTTTTTATATTGTCGGCATTATAAGTCAACATATAAATAGTCCAAATGAAGAACATTTAGAGATGGTTTACAGAATATTAAGATTTCTTAAAAAGATCTCTGGTAGAAAGTTGTTATTTAAGAAATCAGACAACAAGGGGGTGAAGGTTTACACTTATGCTAGTTAGGAACGAGAACTCATGGACAGAAGGTCCACCTCTGAGTATTGCGCCTATGTTTGGAGAAATCTTGTCGCCTAGAGGAGCAAGTGATATCTAGAAGTAGTGTAGCATCTGAGTACCATGCACTTTGGGAATTTGTTAAGGAATATGGATCCAAATGTCACTAACTGAGTTGGGATACTCCATCAATCCCATAAATATATTCTGTGATAGCCAAGCTATCATTAATATTATAAAGAAACTTGTGCATCATGACATGATCAAGCACATTGAGATTGGTGGGCATTTTAGCTCTGAAAAGGACAATTGATGCATTATTCATTTAATCAACATTCTGAATCATCTTCAAGCCACTGATGTTTTTACTAAATCTCTACAAGAAGCTTCACTGATTTATATACTAAGTTGGGCCTTTACAACATCTACAATCCAGCTTGAGGGAGAGGAGTTTCCTATTTTAGTGTTATTCCTTTTTATTATGTCATATTTCTTTCCGCCTTTAGTTAGTTTATCTTTAGTGAGTTGTAATGGTTGCAAATAAATTTGTCCTAGTCATTCTTTAATATATATAAGGAGAAGAGTTGAAAATTGATTAATGAGAAATAAGATAAGATAATTTTCTCCAATTTTCTACACTGACCAGTGTTGTTAAAAATGAAAGAAAGTATGCATTGTAAGTGGTGAGGAAAGAAGAGCTAAGGTCAAGCATCGCACTGCAAAAAATTGAGCTTACACCATAAAGTGATATCCAAGCAACAAAACACTTGCTGCCGTGGCTTCGTAAAGCACAAGACGTCCATGATTACAGATTACTCAATTAGAAAAAATAATGGTTCAGAATTGGGTTGGTATCATGTTTTGCCTATCACACCAAATGTGCCTTCTATGCTTGCTAACTACTTTCCTCACTAATACTTGACATAAAATGCTATAGACGATTTCAAAATTTTAATTTATATAAAAGTTCTTAAAGAGTGTAATATTATAAAATTGTTATTGTGATTTGTGTGCAAAAAAATGAAAAAAAAAGTATGTTACGTGTTGCACTGTGCATTGGCCACCTTGATGCTAAAAGTTTGGAGTTTAGGATGTTAAAACCACAGCAAGCATGATTATCTATTTAAAACTAAAAGTAAAATTAATTAAAAAGTTATCAAGATATATAAATCAGATTTAATAAACCTTCCCAAAACATAATCAGCTATCCACACTGGAATGACAGCACCAGTAGCTGGATTCTTGGCATATGAACCACTAAATACACCAGTTTTTTCCTTCTGCAGATCAGTTCTCTCGAGTTCACTTTTTCTAGCAGCCAATTCACAGTATTTCTCTACCTGCATTTTATTTTGATCCATTAGGCAATCCAAATAAAATTTACCGAACAGAAGTAATGAAATGCACATACATATTTCAGCTGCTCCTTAGATACTATTGAATACAACAAAGAATATTCAGGGGCAGCTACCAGATAACTGCAACAATACATAAACAATAAAAGGCGTCAAAATATTAACAAATTCACATGATTTAAAAAAGGTTTATACAAATCAACCAAAAAAATAATGATTGCACATACGTTACACCAAAGATAGTATCTGGTCTAGTAGTATAAGCTGACAATTTTACACCTAGTTCACGCCCATCCGAATCAAGTATGTTAAATTCTAGCTCAGCGCCTTCAGAACGGCCTATCCAGTTTCGCTGCATTTCCTTGATACTTTCTGGCCACTCAAGTTCTTCCAAATCCTCTAACAGACGATCAGCATAAGTAGTTATCTTAAGCATCCATTGACGCATGGGCTGCTTAAATGGAATATAAGGGGGGAAAAAAGATGTTAGCATGACTACAAGATATTTTAAGGCTGTGAAATTTTTAAAAATTTTCATATAAGTTAAAAAAGGAGCCACTTAAAATCATTTCAACCTTTCTAATCACAGGATGGCCACCACGCTCGCTAACACCATTCACAACCTCTTCATTAGCCAAAACAGTTCCCAAAATAGGGCACCAATTAACAGGAACTTCAGCCTGCATATAAATGTTCATTATGAAGTTATTAATATTAAAATAAGCAATGCGTACCATCATAAGTAGAATAAAAATATCATAAAGCATCAATGAGGCCAAAAAGTATAAATGTTGACAAAAATATGCATTAAACCGCTGAAACCAGACAACCAATCCCCTAAATGTACAATACACATGCATCAAAGAAAAAAAAATCCTGGAAAAAATAAAAGAAAACTGCAAGACCTGGTATGCAAGTCCTTTCTTTAAAAGCTGAAGGAAAATCCATTGTGTCCATTTGTAATATTCAGGTTCTGCGGTGGATATTTCACGATCCCAGTCATAAGAAAATCCTAATGACTTGAGCTGTGACAGCAAAAATAAAATATATTTAAAAAAAAAAATTGTTAACAGAACAAGGAATAATTTGAAATTTTTGAATCTTTATAAAATCATTCAAACAGAAGTAGTCACTCAAACCAGAAGTTGTAAAAGAGACTTGAGTAACCGATTAATTTCTTTAGAATTACCATTCATCTAACTTTCAAATGGGTGAGTGTAATAATAATTTTCTTTTATCAGGTTGACTATATAAGAAAAAGAGAAAATTGCCTAGTTACAAGAACTTCTTCAAGCGCTTCTCCTGCTGCCCTCGAGAGCCTTAAGTGAGGGCTCTCATCCCTCATTTTCCTTATCCCGCACCAGCAGAGGAGTGGGGGCGAGAGAGAGCAAGAGACCAGAGAGGGAGGAAGACAAAGGCAAGCACTTGTCTTTCCGGCAAAAGAGAGAGACACATGAATGAGCAAGAAGGGGAATTGCAAGTGAGAAAGCGAGCGCAGGAATGAGGGAAGGGTTGATAGTTGAGCATACCTATACGTGAATGACTCGAGAGGCTCAGACGATTGTCGCAAGCGAAGGGAGGAGGTTGTGGGAGGTGGGCCACTTATGAGGAGCAAATAATTCGTACATTGGACGGACGTGCGGAACGTGGTATTCGGGTGGTATTGCTCCTCAATGCCACCTCAATATCACCCTAATACCACCAATACCACCCCAATACCACACCAATGCCACCTATCCACACTTGATTCGCGCCTATCTCATCCCCACGCAATATTTTTTCTCTTACGAAGGAGGAAATGAGGAACCAAGCGCTTTTTCCTCATTTATGCTGACTGTCTGCACTTTAGAGAATCTCAAGCGAGCCCTAGTGAGGAAGCCATATCAAGTCCAAAGTCCATTTATACGTAAGCGGCTCCGATGAACCAAGAAATAAAAAATAAAAAAATAAAATAAAAAATAAACCACTCTATATGGTCATCCTTCGAACGTTATATTTTTTCTCTAGTGAGGGGAAGCTTGACCGAGCACTTAAAGCTCAAATCGAATGAAAGGGAAATGAGGTTTGCGGCGGTAGGTAAGAAAACCGAAATCCAGTTTTAGAGTTTTTAATTGTTTCACTTTTATTATGTCAGCAATATTTATTTCTAGCCATTTTGGGCTGAAATCAAGGAAACATAATGTCTAACTGCTAAAATTGTTTAGGAATTGATAAGGGGGACTGCTGAAATCAGAAAAGCAAGAGGAAATTTCACGTATGAAGCCCAATGTCCAATGTTTAAATGTTGTTATTCCTAAAAAAATTAGATTAAACTAAATTCTGCGATTAAAAGTGTAATTAAGTTGCTCTTATTACAAGTATATCAAAAGAAGATTAAGAAAGTTACCTAATCGGAAATTTGGAAAGTAAATTTATTTAAATATGATATATTATTGTATGTATTATTACTAATTTATAACATAGCATAAGATCAAGATAGAAATGTGGCTAAATCACTTAATTGGAAATTTCATAGGAGCAAAAAAAATTAGAAAATTAATAGATATATATACAAATATATATAATGAAAAGAGCAGCTCGTGGCTCCTAACGTGTTAAAATAAAAGGAGTTTACAAAAATGGGGTGGGAAAGAGGATCCCTACTAAAAATAAAAAAGAAAACAAGAGGTCCTAGAGGTTCCTCCATCCACTTACAACTCCACACAAAAAAGAAAAAAGAGAAATAGAAAACTAAGAGATATAACATCTCCAAAAAATTACATGTATCCCAACGAAAAGTATACCAAAACAAAGAGAAATATCCCACCAATTGACATTTAAAAAACAGGACAAAAAAACATTTGTGAGTATGCCAATCCAAAGAAATATACTCCTCCCTTTGACATATAAAAATTTGTGCAAACAAACAATTGTAAGAGTTGTGTAGCCAAAAGCTCTGTATCAAAAGGGGTTGGGATCCGAACAAGAGAGACAAAGCAACAAAGGATTCAGAAGACTGCAGCTCGAAACCAGAGAAGGACCTGCAAATGAAAATGATAGAGAGATGGCAAAAAATCATGATCGAATATATGGGGAATCCAATTTATCTCCAAGCAGAAATTTCCTTAACATGTATGGGGGGCGGAGGCCAACAGAGATCCCTGCATGGCCCATTTTTGCCAAAAAGTCAGCTGGGGCATTACCTTCCCTATAGATGAAGGAAAACTGAACCTGGCGTTGATGAGAAGATAGTAGATGCCAGATTCTATTAAACAGATAAAGTAAATACCATAGGGGTGCAGTGGTCCTAATAAGCATATTATGAATTAACATTGAATCAGATTCAATGATTAGGTGGGTGAAGTTGTAAATCACAGCAATCTGAACAGCAAACAAAATAGCCCACCCTTCAGCTTCAATGGGGCTTTGTGCATAAACAGGAGAGGTAAAGTAACAAATTAAGTTTCCAAAAACATTTCTGAAAACACAGCCCGCATCAGCAGTATTAGGAGTCCAGCTCCCATCCATATTAACCTTTACCTAACCACATGTAGGGGGTTGTCATTAACAAGTAGAGGCCTTCCACCCATTCCATTGCCATGGCAGAACTAGTCAAGGGACTTCCCAAACTGCGCAAAGCTTTAAAATAATAAGAAAGAATGTAAGATACTGTGAGGGAAGGATTTGGAGGGGAATTTGCATGTTTATGCCCATTTCGAGTTAACCATAAAAACCATAAAACCACTAAAGTGAAAGAGATAAGGTTCTTATCATATTTATGTGAAGCTTTCCAAGCTGCCAGTATCCCATCCAAAATGCAAGTTTGCGGCCATTTAACCTGAAAGAAATTTTCAACCATCTGCCAAACAGTTTGGGAAAATGAGCATTCAAAGAAAAGATGTCTGATAGTCTCTTCACCACAACTGCATAAATAACACCTTGAAGGCAATCTCAGCCCCTTTAATTTTAATATATCATTAAGAGGAAGCAAAGAGAAGAAAAACCTCCACAGAAAGAAGGATATAGAAGGGGACATATAACCATGACATAACAGGGACATATAACCATGCCATAAATATAACCATGCCATGACATAACAGGGACATATAACCATGCCATAACAGATGACCCCATTTCCATTTGTCAAAGTTATGCAGAATTTTAGATATAGAAGCAGATATAGAAGCATTAGTAGAGAATTTCCAAATAGGCTTGTCAGGCCTATCAGGGCATAAAGGAATTTTAGCAATAGAAACAACACTTTCACCCAACAGCTCCCTTAATTTACTAATGTCCCAAAGACCATCTATCCAACAATCAGAGACCAACATGTCACTTAAGAAAATTAGAAGCCCGATCATGAAGATTAGAAATCCCACATTGTTCATGCCAAAAGGATACCTTTCCCTCACCAATGTCCCATAAAATGAATTGATTAGCCACGGTTCTAACCTTTAAAATGGCTTTCCAGTTTTTAGAATTCTCAACTTTCAAATTAACCGAGGATGGGTGTTGATGAGAGCAATTCTTATGATACAAAAACTGAGCCCATTAGGATGAGCCAAGTCGAAAGTTAAACCACAACTTACACATATTAATATCAACAATGTGTTGTAAATTTTTTAAAGCTAAACCTCCAGAGAGACGAGGCTTGCACACTTTATGCCAATTTCACCAGATTTTAGAGTTGCCCTCACCAGACCAAAGAAAATTATTGAAAATATGCTCTAAATCTTTTTGTGTGCTCTTTTTCATGGTGAGAACTTGCATAGCATATAGAGGAATGGTTTGAATAAAACTTTGTAACAAAATTAATCTCCCCCCAAAGGAGAGAAAAACATTCCTCCAACCATGAATTCTAGATTTAATTTTATCCACAACAACATCAAATTTTGTTTGTTTCCTTCTGCCTCGAAGGAGGTTAACACAAAGATACTTTAAATGAAGAGAAGCTTTAGAGAAGGCAGTGTAAGAAGTGGCCCAAGTGGTAATAGCAGTACTAACAGAATTCCCAAAGTAAAGATGACATTTGGCTTTGTTCAATAGAAGACCAGAGTTTTGTTGAAAGGCATTAAGATAGTTTAACAAAATTTTCAGGGAAGCCTTGGAAGCATTAGAAAAAATGATAGCATTATCAGCATATGCTAAGTGACTAACCAACACCTTTGATTTATGTCTGTATTGAACATGAGAATGTTTTTCATGCATGCTATTTATATAAGGCGAGAGAAATAATCAAAAGCCATGATGAAAATCGTAGGGGAGACAGGGTCTCCGTGTTTGATGTCTCTCTGAGCAGAAAAAAGCCATATGAATTGTCATTAACTAAGACACTGTAATAATTGTTTTCCAACCAGCATTTAATCAAAGTGTAGAATTTTGTGTCAAAACCTCTAGCTTTCAAAATGCTGAGAATAAAATCCCAATTAATTGAATCAAAAGCTTTTTTTAGATCAAGCTTGAGAATCAAATTACCACCTCTACACTTCCTGTCAAGATCCTCCACCAATTCTTGAGCAAGGAGGATATCATCACTTATCTCTCTACCATGAATAAAAGTTGATTGTTGGGGAGAGATGAGTATAGAAAGATGAGGTTGAAGTCGAATGACTATCAACATGCTGATAACTTTAGAAATAACTGAAGTAAGTGATATAGGTCTAAAGTTATCCCAACTTGTTTTAACATTATATTTTGGCATAAGCACAGCTAAAGAAGAGGAGAAAAACTTCCCTAGAGTATTGCCCATACTTTGAATAGCAGCAACGATCACGTTATGACTTATATCCCAGCAGTGAGTATAAAAGGAGGAAGTGAATCCATCAGGACTTGGAGCTTTATTAGCATTAATAACCTTAAAAACAGTGAAAAACTCCTGTTCAGTAGAAATGGAAGCAAGGGACAAACCAGCCACATAGTCCCTATCCCTGTCAAAAATTCACTATTGATAGGTGTGACCTACGGGTTAGAAGCAAACAAAACAGTAAAATAATGAACAGTATTGTTATCAATCTCCCCTTCATCAATAATTATGTCACCATTAGGC